GACCTACTTTAAGCTTTACCCTATTTTTTTTCCCTGTTAAGAGGTGCATGCCAACTCTAATGACTTTTCCCATCTCCTGGGTGTGTTTTTTCCTTATTGGTTTTTCCTTTTTAACTTTAAAAGTGTCTGTGCTTTTCGGTGACTCCCTCCCCAAGTTAAACTTTGAGTAGCAGGTTTGCAAGGCTACCTTCAAGATTGTCAGTTTTAGGGTGCAAAGAACCACAGGCAATATAACTTAAATCAAATCCCCTAGTTCCTGCGTGCTGCTCAGGATGTGTTTAAAAAGAGGCTCTCTGCTTCAGATGTCATAAATTACTGCTGGAGGGAGCAGTAGGTTCCTGTCTTAAATGTAGACATCTTCACTGCTGTCAGTTATCCCATCTGTAAATGGAGACAGGCATCTTCTGTTGTTTGTGCTTGTCTTCTTTTATATCCATCAGAGCCTCACTCCTCTCCCTTAAGGTTTTGCAGTTGCCCTGTTCTGGATGGGTGGATGATGGAGTAACTCTAATGCTCTAATGTCTGGGCATGGGACTGCAATCCTGGGGACTCTATGGCACTTGTTGATACAGTTAGGTCGGTGTGCTCTTTGAGCTTACCTTAATGTATACCTTAATACACAGCTCCTTGGTGCTCAGCTCCTCCACCTGCACAGCCTACTCTCATTCCTATATAATTTGTACCCACTTATTACCATGTTCTGCTGCTTATATTCCCTCCACCAGATCTCTGAGGTGCTGGTTATGTTAATAGCCCCACCTGAAACCAGGGCACTGCTGTTCATTCACCTTGCTTTTAAACCCTTGGTGCTTGGATAGAAGTGCACATATGGTGTCTTGTTCTGTTCTCTTTCTCTCTGCAGGCCAGAGAGGGATGTCTGTTGGGGCTGCAGGCTGCTGTTCTCTCCCTGACTGATTTTTGGCTTCTCTCCTATCCTTTTATTCAAAGATACAAAATTTTCATGACTTCTCCACTGGAGACCACATTTTCCCAAACCACATGTCTTGTCAAACTGTTGGTTTTCCCACAATATTTAGTTTAAAAGACCTTTTTTATGTGCCAGTAGCCTTGATCCATTTTCATGTAGATTTAGTACTTGGATCTTTACTGTATAGGTTCTACCTATTCAAGCCTGACTTCAAGGTACTATACTCTGAACCTTGCAATGACTCTGGATTTCATTATACGGCATTAGAGGAAGCATTTCTGTTACTGAGTTGATCCTGGCCTTTAGCCCCGTAGCTACTAGCTAAATCTTGCCTTGAAGATTGTTCTCTCCATCCCGCATTGGTGGTGACCATGTGGACCACACCATGAGTTCTTCCCCAGCTCAGAGTAGGGGGCAGTCCAGATGTGAGACCACCCTGTTAGCATCCAGCGGACAATTGATGCTCTGGTCCTCAGTTGTCTGTTTCCATTGCACTGACCTTTTTCATCCTATTGACAGAAATAACTGTTTTTCAGAGGCATATCCTTAATATGAAAGAATACCCCTCCCTCCTCCTTAGTTTTTTGGAGCTGCTGGTCTGCATGAGTGCTCCATGGTGCTCTTGAATGTGTCGCTGCTATCTCTCTGGTCCCAGCAGATGTCTGTTTTGCCTGTTCTTGTAGCAAGACTTGGCACTTTAAGGTCCATGGGTGCCCTTCCCAATGTGTAGACCTGAGTGATCTGGTCAGGACCAGCCCTGTCCAGCTGAGTATGTGCAACAAGTCAAATGCAGCTCAAATCCTCAGCATGAATCCTCTGCTCAGGCCTTGTGATCCCATCAAGATAGATTGAATGGGATAATCCTCTGAAAGGGGGTTTCAAGCATCCACTAAACAGGGAAAGACCGAGTAATTTATTCGCTGGAACAGTGCTATAATCAAGTATAAACACTTAGACTTTTTTTCTTTTCATAGGATCTTTACACCTTTCCAAAGCTGCTTTCTGAGAGGTCCTACAAATACCAACAAGAAGCTGGTGTCCTCCAGGGTACCTCCATTCCTGAAAAGAACTTAACTGTTTGTTCTGTTGCTCCATGGCAAGATGAAGTAATAGCCTGTCACTTAGTGATTCAAAATCCCTTCCGTTACGTTCTCATCGCAAATGCAGCATCCTTTGTGAGAAATGGTCTGTGAATTCTGGGCAATTGCACTAAATCACATAGTCTAAGCATCCCACACAAATGTGAAACAGAACCACATGCGATGCAAGTGTTAATTTTGAATGTTTCTGCAATGCTGCAGTGACTTGCAGTCATTGTTGCGGTGATTTGCATAATTTAAAAGTGAGATATTTTGATTTTTTGTGGAGTGTAGAAAAGCTCAAGAATGAAGCAAAACCTCACAGTGGGCCTGAAAGATTTTTAACTTCACCTGAACTTTTCTTCCCTCCCCTCCACCCCCGGAATTGATGGTGTCCACAAAGTGGGTACTAGTACCACTATAACTGTGGTGCAGTGTGTGTGTTCAGTCAGAAAATATTACAACAAAAGTTGTCCAGGTCTCTTAGTAAATGAGAGACTTATTTATTTGTTATTAATTAAATCTCCGTCCTGAAGGTATGTTAATTATCTTAGATGTCAGTCTAATCTCTAGGAGAGCATCTTCAAAAGCATGTGGGAAAATGCCTAGGGCATGTGGATATGGCATTTTTCAATTTTATTTGATGCCATACCTTGAAAACAAATGCTAAATTACATTTAGCTGCTTGCTTTTGTAAACGTGATGATGAATGTAGCTCTTAGGGTGGGATTTAAACCAGCTGGCTGCAGCCAGAGGATTGTTTTGAGTTAATTCTTGTCTCACTTTAAGCAGTGATTTATTTTTTTTAACCTTTTCTTTCAGTTTGTGGATTCCTCTAGACGTCTCACAGGGCAGATGCAAAATAGAAAGTCCCACTAAGTGCATTATTATATAGCTGATGGCAACTCCTCTCTGTTACCTCTCACAAAACATGTAGCAGCAGTCCAGAGATTCCCAGGGACTTCTGGATTTGGGGCAGAAAGCCAGGGGATAAAATTGTCTTAACAAAACATTCAGACTAGATGAAAACTTGCCTGTGATGTGGGATGCTCTGGACTGCTTTTCTCCCTCACAGATTCAGGCACTGTTAAATGGTCACCCCTTGTTTCCAGCCTGATCTCGCTAGTTTTGGCTTCTAGCCTTTGGATCCTGTTATTCCTCTGCCAGACTGAGGAGCCCATTAGCTGTGATAGGCCAATCAAACATCTCCTAATTGATCCAGTGATGTGGTTACTAGTGAAGACAGGCAGATGAACTTGATGACCTGGAAGGTCCTTTCCACTTTTCTGCTCCATGGAAGTAGCGCAGTGTTAATGCCAGAGTGAATCATGGATGTATCTCTGTCCTACATCTTTGGAAGCAGGCTCCATGGCTCCAACAGCTGTAATTAACAAGGTAGAGTGTGTTCCCTAATGTCAGCACACCAGGCAAACACCCCATGGGACCAAACATGTACGGCAATGAATTCAAGAGGATAAAAATATAGTATTTGGACACTGATAGAGTTGTATGCTGCATCTGGTCCTGAGCCAGTGATGAGTGGACAGACATTCTGGACAGCCAGTAACTCCCACAGGGATGAACCTCTGCAGTAAAGGCAGCTGGATGGTAGGACAGGCAGCAGCGCAGATCTAGTTTGCATATAACAGATTCAGAATGGAGAGAAAGGAAAAGGACACTGCAAATGCAGGATGCTTACCTTGCTACAAGCATAGACTTACTGAAGCGAAGGGGGAATTCCTGAGGCAGCAGCTCCATCCCTGTTCCCCGGCCCCAGCGCTCTGTCTGTCACTGAGCTTCCTGTTTCAGTGCTGCAAAGGGGAAGATCTCCTTTTTGGTTCACACTGTATGTAAAGGGTAGCCATGTTTGTACAGATGTACTCGCATGCAATAGCTGGTATGTGGCATCCTCAGCTGTATGACCAGCTCCCACACAAGGTGCAAATAGAACCTTTATGCAAACTTACTAAATCCTCTTCAGAGGGCTCCATTCCCATAGTCCAAATGTTGGATTACAGCCTTCTTTTCCATTAGGAAACAAAGAGTGAATACAATCCCTTCCCTGATTGGATTGTATTCACTGGAAGGGATCACAGGCTGGGAAATCCCAGCAGTCCACCAGGAAAGGCAATTTTGCTGTTGGTCTTGGTGATGAACAGTTGAAGTATGTTCAGCTGAGACACTGGATATTTTAGGACAAGCTGAAAACAAACAGGAGCTGAGGTCCTTTGCTGCATGCTGCCTGCTTGAAGTTTTATTGCTTTTTTTACCCTTCTGCCAAGCACTGAGTGGTGATAAAAAAGGGCCAGATCATGATCTAGATGTTCCTTGAAAAACAAGGCTTTCCCTGGCCTTGTTTTAGCTCTGGGATACTGTTGGTGTCTGCTACATGCCACTCCCAATAGCCAATTTGCTAATCAATCATTGATTGTGTGTTCCTTCCCGCTGCTGACATTAGGCATTTGTTAGCTCACCTGCTCCACCATTAGACTGGCAATCCGGCTGCAATGGGATGCTTATTAAGTCGAATATGGGTGCATAGGCTGGTGTGTTGTGTTAAACTGTGTTATTAAATGCAAGTGATCAGGTAGTTAAAAATAACCAGGTAAACCTCAGGATGTAGTGAGTGCATTCCTGGGATAACAGAGCTCTGTTTGTGGATGAGTGCCTGTGGAAAAGTCATGGTTTATAACAGTCCTTGGGGAAACGGGTTGGGTTAAAGGTGTGCTGAACTCCCATGAGGTGCTTGTGCTTCAATAGCAAACAAAAGGACTGAGGATGGCTTGCAGTGGCTGAGGGGCTTCAGATGGCACCAAACAGGATGAAAGAGCCAAAAGGACTCAGAAACACTTTGGAAAGGGTTCTTTCCCCCTCTGTGATGGAGGGTGAGAGGCCAGAGAAGTGCAGGACGGAAGGAGGAGCTGCATTGTAGGTGCATTCCCTGGTGATGTAGAGAAGGAAAATGGCTCATTCCTCTCTTTTATCTCCTCCAGAAGAAAAGCTGGAACAAAAGGCCAGGACAGCCACGGCAATCAGCCATGTCTGCTGAAGATGATGGAAGGTGCCTTTAGCTCAGGAGATCACCACTTGGTAAGTGTTTAGCACTCTTTTTGGGACGCATGTTTCCATACCTGTAGGGAAGTCCAGAGGCAGGCTGGACCTGTGGGATAGGCAGGACTTGGAGCATGTTTCCTGGGCATGGTGTGCCCCAGCTTACTGGCCATGTAGACAGATGTTGATGGGGTGTTTCTTCAGCCTTTGTGCAGTTCAGAGCACAGCTGGAGTAACCTCTTCTCCACTCAGCATGAGCAGAGCTGCTGGTGTCTGGTTAGAAGGTATTAAGTAGACAAGTCCTGGTGTCAGATACTAAAGAGGGCTTTGTCGTGGAACATTAATGTCAGAAGTCTTATGTTTGCAGGTAAGGGAAGACATGCTAGCTGGAATTTGCCATAGTATCCTAGTACTGTTGCCAAAAAGGCAAACACTCCCACCAGAGCATACGGATTGTCAGTTCAGTAGCAAGCATATTAGCTGAAAATAAGGTACAAACTTGCAAGGAATCTAGTGACTGCAGACTTGTACTCTGGAGTATCTGACCACAGTGTAGAGGAGCAATCTCCAGGGTTACCCATTTAATGCCTGCATGAAACTTAGGTTTTGATGTGTGAGTGGAGACAGCTGAGCATTAAGGACTGAATTGAGTTGTTTTCTTTAAGTGTGTTGGACCTAAAGTAATTCCCTGAAATCCTAATGCTTTTCTAGTGATTCCTTTCCCTGCTGAAGCATCAAGGGCTGTGCAATTATCTTTGGTAAGGCTGAATTGTTCTTTAGCAACCAGAGGGATGCTATTGAACGTAATGATGCCACTTGATGGTATGCCTCCCTTTCCCATAGGAAGGTGTTTAAGCTTTTTTACTTCTTGCATAAAGGGACAAGTCTTTCCCTAGGTAGTGCCACATCATCAGCACATCGGGGGAAGGGTGTACAGTGGCTGTAAAGTAATAGTTATGGGTGTATGAAGACATTCTGTGGCTTTCAATTTAACAATCAGGAGCTTTGACCAAATGCAGATATTCATGTCAGTTGTGTACTTGCTCCTAAATTTGGGAGATATGAAAGAAGAAACAGAAGATTATGGAAAATCTGTAGTTCTCATGCAAGCATTCTGTACTTTCAGTTGCTGTTGCTTGTTTTTTAGTGAAAAGTTGATAATTCTCTTTTGAATTTATCCCCTTTGGCATACAGTTCTAGTCACAACCCATGGCAGCAGGTGCCTCTAGTAATGACAGTGTGGTCTTTCACATCCATGCACAGAAATGCCTTATTCTCAGTTCCCTTCTACAAGGCAGAGACATTTGTGATACTGTCTTTCCCATAGGTATCTTCAGAGGAGCAGCTCATGCCTTGAAGGATCACGAGTGGCTGAAGGCACCTGCTGAAGGCACAGGGATAGGGTAGAGATCAGAGTTTCACAGCGCAATTAGCGGAGCGGGGTGCGGTGATACTATAATCTAGGAGCAACCAACACCCACACGGGGCGTGTTTTTGGCCTCTTGCTGCTACTGCAGCGATGGGTTCTGGCACTTGGGCCACCACACCCTGCGGCCAGTTCCAACACTGGAGCCTTTGCTACTGATAAAACATAAATAATAATTTTGGAGAGGGAAAAACACTATGTTCTTGTCCCTTGTTGTTCAGGTGGGGATGGCTGGTGATGAAGGTTGCTGGGTGACATGGAAGGGCTCAGTGCTCACTTGAGGGCAGGTTTTAGTACTCCTCATTGGAGTAGCACTTACAGGGTCCAGCTGGCAGCACAGGATGGGGCAGCATTACTCAAAATGGTCATTCTCTGTTCTGTAGTCCTTAGTGCACTGTGTTCATAGGCTCTCCAGGCACTCTTCTTGCTGTCCACTGGAAAACAATCTCAGGACAGATTTTATTTCCTCTGTTGAAATTCTGCTGTTTCAGTAGCCCAATGACAGTCATTGTCTTTTATTTCCATGTGTGACTTGAAGCCAGAGTCAGAAAAATATTGTACTTTGTTCCCAAACAATAGGGCTGTGTGTTTTTGCATGATGACTCTGGCTTTTCAGCCTGTGTGCCATATTTTACTTCTATCTGTGGCCCATAGCTGGTGCTCAGCTGAGGCTGGAAAATACCCACAAAGAATCTGTGTGGTTATGCAATGCTGCACACGAGGTGAAATTCCTTTGTAACCCCTGCAGGCGATCAATCTATGCCCCGAATGATGAGATTTTGATTACCCTTGTCTAAGCTACAGATACTGTTAACTGCAGTGAAATCAGGCCTCTCTGGTAAGGCTCATCAAAGCACAGATCCTGGTGACGTTCTGAGGCTGCAAGTCCTTTGCAGCTCTGGGGGATGTCGTGGTGCTTTGCCATGGGAAATCCTTTCACTGTGCAGATGTTACTTGCTGTGGCCTTTTGTAGATCAAAACCCAACTCCTGCCGTCTCCAGCCTAATACTTTTCAACAAGCAAATAATGCCCTGAAAGTGTTGACAGGAATGGCAGGCTGCTTCCCTGGAGTCGGCCGGGTGAGCTTGTTGCTTTGACACTGGATCTCCCTCTGAATGTAGAGACTGATTCCAGCATCCCCAGCCCCACATGGCTTTGGTTATAACTTGGGGAGCAACTTTTCTCCCCCAGCAAGTACAGTTTCCCAAGGCAGCTGCATTCTTCTGTGAGTAAAAGTTGTTGAGTTGGGGGAGGCTCCTGGCTGGAAGGTGGGACCTCTCCATGGCCAGACTGAGACTGGTGGGTGGAATGAGGCCTGATGGTGTGTTAGACACTAAGATGTATCTCTCCCATGGATTCCTCCGTCTTATATTTCACATACAGAAAAAGATAAGTGTGTATGTTTGTATATGTATGTGTGCATATACATATATATATAAATCTAATTCAGCAGTAAGCCAGAGCTTTGTGTACCCTTCAGCCTCATGGGAGGGAAGAATTGATAAGCTGATCCGTTTTCAATGCCAGGAGAGATAAATAGGACCAGTTGGTCTGGTGTGCCGTGCAGATCAGCCCATAGATTCCTGTACCAGGCCTGTCTGAGAGATAGCATTTTTGTTTTGACTTGTGAGAGGATCCCTCACACAACAGGGATGAGTTTCAGTCTAAGACCAGGGATGAATAGGCTGAAATAGGTGTGACCAAGAGGATAATGCAGCCTTCTGCATCTTAGTGTACCCATCTGTGAAATGCAAATAATAATAGGGGAACCTTGTAAGGATTCATTAGTCCTTTGAAGATGGCATGTGTTACACACTGTTATTGTGATCTTCCAAAGTTGGCCTCATCCCTGCCTTTTGGACATACACATCTCACTGTTGCTCACTTCCTGATTTATTTCCCCCTCCTCCCTGGCACAGTTCAAGCTAAGTCAGCAGGGCAAAGGCCTGTCCAGAACAGTCAGACACATGTCATGGTGGCTTATGGTCTGAAAGGGTTGCAAAGATGAGACCATGCTCTACTTCAAGTACAGAATGCTAGAAATTGCTGTCTTTGCATTGCAGATGTGACAAGGAGACGCAGGACTTTCTGTGCTGGATGGACTAATGTCATGTAACGCAGTTCATAACCCAAGGTGCTTTTTGTGGATTTTAGATCAGAGGTATATGTAGATTTGGGCAGGAGGAAACCTGATGACAGGGAAGAGACACTGATTCCGGAGGATGCTGTAGATGCTGGATTTAGGGGAAATTGGTAGATTGGGTGCAAAGCTGTGCAAAGCAACTGATCCACATTAAGTTCATCTGCCTCCTTTCCTTTTGATACAGTAAGTCCACTTGACACAGATCATTATTATACATTATTCAGTAAAGATTGTTGCCATGCTCTGGGCATGTTTCTGAAATGCTTATTGCTGCGGCTCCATGGGCGCTGGGATGCATGGGGCTCGCTGTGCACCTGGTTCCCAGAAGTGGATGCTATCAGGGAATTCCTGTCATTCCTCTCCTGGCCTCTAGCAGTTCCCCCTCCTTGGTCACCCGCCAGGGAATCGTGCTCCGGGATGCTGCGAGTTAACGCTTTGCATTTGCCGCGGTGCAGCCAGGTGGCGTGAAGAGCCAGCTCCTGTGCTGGTGAGCTGGGTTGTATTCCCAACACGACGGTGGGAAACGAGCAGCCTCTTGGGATGGGCTTGTCACTGGGTCAGGCCGGTGGAATTCTTGTTAGAGCTCAGGAGGCTCATCCTGGCTGGAGGGAAAGGACCATGGTGTAGACCTTGATCAGTGGCAGTGGTACTTCAGCTTGACCAAGACTTGTTTCCCTGGAGATCTGGGCAGCACTCACCAGAGCTGCAGCAATAGCGGGTACAAACAAGGGAGCTCTGGAACAGTTGCAGTCTAGAGACTCCAACTCATTTCCATCAAGTGGCTGGATGTTCAGCAGCTGGGCTTTGGTCACAGAAGTGCTTGTCCACTGTCATAAACCTTGTTCTTGCGTGGAACGGATGCCATGTTTTTACATGGATGAAGTGCCTCCCAGACTACTCGGAGGAGATCAGTGAGATTTGTAGTTCTTCTTGCAGCTGTGTAACCCATGGTGGGTGCATAACTGGGTGTCTGTGGGAGGCTTGAAATCATCTGTTTGCTAACAGAGATGAATCCTGAAGATGTGCAGAACAGACCTCTGGGCAGCGCTTAGGCAGGTGGAGCCCAAAAAGCTAAGTTAGCTTACAGTGTTAATGTGTGTGCTGATTTTTGCCTGAGATAATTTTCTTCATAATAGCTTATGGGGCTGAGTTTTGGGTTTGTGCTGGAAACAGTGCTGATAATTTGGGGATGGGGTGTTTTAGCTATTGAGCAATGCTTGCACAGAGTCAAGGCCTTTTCAATGAGGAGGCTGGGGTTGCACAAAGAATTGGGAGGGGACCCAGCCAGGATGGCTGACCCCAACTGATCCAAGGGATATACCATACCATAGAGCATCATGTTCAGCATACAGAGCTGCAGGAAGAAGGGGAGGATGTTCTGAGCGATGGCGTTTGTCTTCCTAAATCACTGCTATGTGTGATGGATCACTCCTTTCCTGGAGGTGGCTGAACACCTACCTGTGATGAGAAGTGGTGAATGAATTTCTTGTTTTGTTTTGCTTTGCTTGTGTGCGCGGCTTTTGCCTTACTTATTAAACTGTCATCTCAACCCACGAGTTTTCTCACTCTTACTTCTTACTCTTTCAGTTCTCTCCCCCATCCCACCAGGAAGGAGTGAGTGAGCATCTGGGTGGTGCATGGTTCCTGGTTGGGGTTAAACCACAACTCTGACAGCACAGTTATATACCCTTGATATTTCTTATTTGACAGCTGCCCAAAGTGAGCTGCAAGGGGGTGCTGGCTCCGAACCTGAAGTGTAATAATGTTCAGAAACTGATTAAAAATGGGTGACTTTAGTCCTTGCATTTTGAAATGTCTCACTTTGGAGGTGTAACTCATGAAATGCTGATGAAGTTGAGAGCTCTGGTCTCTGGCTGTGAAGCCAAATACCATCTAGTCTGGGTTTCCTTTGTTAAACAGGCTGAACAACTATTCCTCTTCTCTTTTAGCCCTGAGAATCTCTGGATTGTGAGAGAGGTGTAGTGGTCAGTTGAAAAAGAAGTTTCAGTGTTTCAGAAATCAAGCGTTAAGCAGTGGTGGTGATGGGGTTCCTCTGAGAGGGAAGAGATGGCAGGGAAGTAACAAGTGTGTCAATCAGGACAGGAAAGGACAACTATGGTGGGAATATAGGCATGTCTGTGGTTTTATTGGAAATACATGTGATTTAGTTTTCCTACTAGTGTTACTTTCCACTGGGTATGAAGGAGTTTAATTCCCTGAGAAAGGAGAGCAGGCCATGGGACAGTCTTGAAGGCTGTCTGTGCTTGTGTGAACGGGACACCTGGAGAGATGGCATCACTTGAGAGCAGGTGCTGCGAAGGTTGTGGTGGTGTGAGCTTGGCTGGTGGGCAGGAGGAAGAGTGAGCTGTGCTAGCAGCACAGAGACAAGCATGTGTTGCTTTCCCAGTCTGGTCTAAGGACCCAACAGTGATGCCTGGTAAAGTCCCATTTGCCTGCTGAATTATGTTGATAATACTGAAGTCACAGCAGTGAGTGCAGAGGTGTGTGTTTTCCAGTGGGAGAAAAGACAGTGCTGTGAAAGGGGGCTGTCCCTGGCCACCCCCGCATACCCCCTCACAGCAGTGCCAAAGTAGGTAAAATTCGGGCTGCAGATCCTTATCAGAGTTTGTTTTGTCCTGCTGTGGTGGCTTTGGATACCTGACCCAAAATGCTGCCTTCCTCTAGGGTAAGAATTGGGCTGCATAAGTTCATGCCTTTGAGCATTAAGGGCAGCCTGGAGACTGGCATTCAAACAATGGAAAGCTAACAAAAACCCGACAACAATAAAACCCAACCAACCACCCAAACAAACCTTCACTGTCCTTACACACACACCTCCTCCTCCCCTCAATCACAAACAACTTTCCCATTCTCGCCCCAAGACAACTCTCAAAACAAAGCCCCCAGCTGGTTATATTGCCAGGAAGCTTTCCCTTGCCAAAACCATCCCTAGGTGATGCTAAACCCATTAGACAGGAGGTGATCCCATCTGCAAAACAGTGCCATGCCACTAAAGGGAAGAAAATCAGTTTTCAGAGTGGACAAGGCATCTCATTTATTTTTATATATCTACAGACACATCCCTGTGCAGGCACAGCCTGTGAAGGAGTGAAGTGTGGGAACATCATAGGAAATGGAGTGTGAGCATGGTCATCACTAACTGGGGTGTGAATCACTTAGCTGCCTCTTGGGCTCCTCTCCCCATACTCCTCAGGACCCTGAAGAGGGAAGAGGTGAATGTCCCTGTGGCTGTGTCCTGCCCAGCTTGGTGGCTGTAGGACTTTGTCCCTAGAACTCCTCACAACTTCTCCAGTTTCCACCTGACAAGAGTTTGCCTAAATTTAATATTATGCTCTCATTTTCCTAGTTGCTTCTCCATGATTATTTTTATCCTGTTTCCTGTTTTCCTACCAGAATGTGTTGGAAAATGGACCCAGTGAGAGCTGTCCTGCCAGGCATAGCATCATTTATATGCTGTTTTCCAAAATTTTAACTGACATGAACAGAAGAGTCATTGGAATATCTCTTCTTGCCTTTAGCTGCTTTTCCCTGTAGCATATTGCTCTTCAGCTGCTTGGCATCATTTTTTAATTAAGATTAGGAAGGTGCTGTACTAAACCCATTGCTAAAGCATAGGCTCTCTTCTACATATCTCCTATGGAAATTAATGGGCTGTCTGGATTCCAGTACAGGATTGAGATGTTACTGTGTAAATCTATCAATAAAGTGTAAATCCATCAATATAGGCAATCAAGTGAGTCAGGTAAGGTTTATAATTAATACACCCTTGCTGCTATCCCTCATTATTCTGCTCAGTTTGTGTAACTTGGGCCCACAAGAGCAAACTCTTCAAACCACATGGCTTTTCAGGGGTCTCCCCATCCCCTGACATCACATTTCATACTGTTGGTAGTGTTTCAGGAGGTTGTAGCTATGCAGTAATAACTGGGAGGGAAATCCTTGAATCAGAATGGTTTGGGTTGTGAAGGGATCTTTAAGATCATCCAGTTCCAACCCCCTTCCACTAGACCAGGTTGCTCTAAGCCCTGTCCAACCCGACCTTGAACACTGCCAGGGATGGGACAGCCACAGCTTCTCTGAGCACCTTGTGCCAATGTCCCACCACGCTTAGAGTAAATAACTTCTTATGATCTAATCTGAATCTCCCCTCTATCGGTTTAAAGCCATTCCCCCTTGTCACTACATGTCCTTGTAAAAAGTCCCTCTCCAGCTTTCAATTCATTCTCATTTAAAATTCTTAATTCTCTTTCTATTTTGTTTTAGGTTTTTTTTTTGAGATTTGGTACTGAACATGGTTCTAATTTTGGTATCAAGGTGTGTTTGGACCATTCTGAGCATCTCAGGGGACGGTGTTCTCCAGTGGTCAGATGATGGGAGGGAGGTGTGGTGGTTGCAGAGCTGATCTAGGGTCAAGACCTGGGTGTCTCCTTTCTCTCTCATTTCTTGACTTTGTCTACACTGCCAGGCTGGAAGCTGCTCTCACCTGGCCAGTCTGACCAGGTTTGGTACCTGCTGTACTTCAGCCAGCTGTTCTGAATCAGAGGATTGTTTCACTTGTCCATAGGAATAGAGGTTTTGAAGGAAAAGAAAATTTTAAAAACAAAACCAATTAAAAAATGCACCTTCTCTTCCCCAAACTCTACCTCATGGCTGACATCATGGGAAGACGCCTCGGTAACAAAGAATATTGTTTGGCTTTGTCCTTCACATTCCAAGCTCTATCCACTTTCCAGCAACCATGCACATTTCATTTTTTGCCTTTCCCATTCCAGATATTTTCCAATTTCTCCCAAGGATTTACCAAGACATGCTATATCAGGTTAGTTTTCTTCTCTTCCTGTTGGCCTCCCCTCTAATTCCACGCCCAAATACGCATACAGAAATTATCTCATGATTCAGGGCAACACGCAGCTCTTCAGATCTGCCACGAACCATAGGCAGTTTACTTCTCTGTTCCAAAATCTCCACTGTGAACCTGCATGTAGTCTAATTTTGAGTCAAAAAGAAATGTTAGGGATGACCACATGCTAAATTAGGACCTTACTTGGCTAAATTAGGACCCTACTAACAACTATTCTGATCTGAGAAACATACGGCAGCAATTTATCACAAGGATTTATGCTGAGCTGTGTTGACCAGTCCAGATGAATGCATATGTCATGCAGAAGAATGTTTTCTTCCTCAGGTGGAGCTGAGCCGACTCTGTGCACAGCCGCAGCCTGCTTGCTTGTCTTTGAGTCCCTCATCCCTCTGCTCTGCTTGACTCACTTGTCCACCTGTTTCAAACCTTGCAAATGGTTTCTGTTTCCCAGTTCTCTTTTAACTGGACAACAAGGCACATTGCTTCTTCCCACGTAAATCACATTCCAGAACTTTGATGTCATCTTTATTTCCCTCTCTCAAGTCGTCTGAGAAACCCTGCACAGGATGACACCTTCGTTTTTACCTCTTCTTTGAGAGGCAGCTGAGCAGGGCTACTTACATACTGCTGGACCCTTTAGCATCAATAACAGCCCATCTCAGAGCACTGATCTGCTGAAGCAGTATGGTCTGCCAGGTCCCACCTCATCTGAGAAAAGGTTTTTCACTAATAACACTGTGGTCCCTTCTGAAGACAAGGGAGAGACAAGAAAGGGATGAGAATTTGGCAGTATGGTTTTATTGTTGGCACAGCTGCTATGTGAACTATAGCCTCAAACTCAGAATTTCAACAAGGCACCTTACTTGATGCTTTTCAACCTTGCCTGAGTTTACTGTTCAGGTTCATAGTGGGGTGTTTTATTAAAAGCAGACTAACTTCCAGAGGCCTTGAGTGATCTTGCCTTCCTGTTCTCTTTGCTGGAGCCAAGTTACCAAAGCAAAACGCTTTCAGCTATTTTGTTGAGATAAAAAAGGGTATTAGTGTTATGTCAACTGGGGTACCTCTGTCTTATGAACCACCCTAAAGATGGCAAGAATTCTTCTGGCTATGTGGGGGAACTAAAATAATCTATTCATAGTTTTCTTACCTTGACAAAATACAGGGAGTGACTCAAATATGTCCCATCCTTATGGAAATTAATTGTGTTAATGGGATCATTAGAATTTAGAACTACTGTCATCAAACTGGTTTTTGCAGCTAATGATGGTTCTTGGGAAGATTATGTCATAATGAAGGCGGAGAATCTGGTCATCTATATATATGTGATCTGACCTGAGCCCTTTCTTTGGGTTTCATTGAGCAATGCACTAATAGAGTCAACGTAGGCAAACAGCTGCCACCCTCACCATGAAAATAGAAGGTGCCTCGGTGGTCCTTGCTCTGGCATTTTTCTGCTTCTTCTCAGGTTAGTAACTTCTGATGTTCTCTGTGCTGAAATGTGGGACTAGCAGAGGACACAGCGTGGGAGCTCCCATAAAGGCAGTGAGACACCGGATTAGAGAGCCCTCGTTCTTTAAAAAGCATAGTGACATAACCGGAAGACCATAATTTCTTACTGTACTACTTGTATTGATTTGCTATAACACATTCTTGGTAACAGCTCTTTCTCTTGTGTGTGAAAATGTTTTCTCTTGCGTGTGAAAAGTTCTATTGATAGGTGAGAGTATCTATTATTAGTAGATGTAGCAGCTTAAGAACAAACAAACTCAGTTGTATAAGTGGAGGAATACAAATTTCCAAGCAGATTGAATTTTATGTTAAAAGATTAACTTTGAAAAAAGTGTAATGCAATTTTTGGTAAATTCAGAAAGCCAGGAATTTCTTGTCACACTTGCTAAGGACTCCATTTTTGTATGTCTACAATAGAGATTTTAGCATGCCTACAACAGAGATTTTAGCAGGAGTTTAAGCTTGATGCAATGGTCTTTACTGCTTATTTCTGTTGAAAAAGAGCTGGTGGAGGATTTCTTGATGGCTTCCTGTGATGCTACAGATGATGCAAGAGGAAAGGATGAAATGTATTATACGGGCTCTAAGTGGCTTAGTAAAAAGAAACATATATCAGCTGCTTATCTGCTGACTCATTATTAATTTGGCAATTTATGTGAGGTACTGCAAATGGAATGGGCCTTGAAAAGGAATTTGAAGTTTTAGACAAACAACAATGATATGGCCTAGCTTTGGTATCCCAATTTTAAGGGATGAAGATAAAGCAACAAAAAAATTTGAGTAAGGTTGATGCAACTACTGAGGCAGTGGGATATAATAATAAACAGTGAATCATCCTTGGAATTTGGACTTTAAGCCTGAGAAAAGTAACACAGTAAAAGGAGGACACAAAGACACAACAAATAGATGTGCTTTTGCATTTGAATGACAAAAAGTGCAATGTTCCAGAAAGTCTCTAATGCCCAGTCCTTTCTATTAGTGTGCAATAATGCACTGGATTAGCTCTTATCTGGAGGTTATTTGGGTGGATTAGGAAACTGCATCAAGTATTTTAATTAAATGCTTTTGGTTTAAAATTTCCCTTCAAAGGTTTTTGTATGGTCTCATTGTTGGTTTTTCTGTTGCAGATGCTGCCAGCCAAGCTTCGATTAAGGCAAGTCCAACCTTTTCTATTCTTATTCTCCTTTTGTTTTGCCAGCTATACTGCTTAATGCATGCTCTGAGCAAAGCCATTTAGGCAGGCTAATCTTAGATATCATAACACTTTTTCAGTGGTGGAAAAAGCAGTGAATTTCTTCATGTTGAGAGACAATACTTTTGTAATACAGCAATGGCTCTAGCTGACAGTGTATATTTGGTGCACTATGCTGAGCACATACCCGAGCAGCTCTGAGCTGGAAATCTCATGAGATGAAGTTAGAAATGTCATATATTATATTTCTAATGATATTTCAGGATTTTGTTTCTGATCAGAAGCTGGGGTTTCTGCTGGATAACTTCCTAGTTTGATAATTAAAAGAATTAAGGCAAGTCCTTTGAGTCTCAGGAAATTATGTGATCCAATGACTGAGAAGTCAGCTCTGTTCATGTTTTAATCAAACAAGCTTGTCTCTCCATAGTAAAGACCCTTTGGAAAACATAGTAGCCCAAAATAACTAAATGCTTCATTGATTCTCCTTCTCCTGCATTTCGGTTACCCAGCAGAAGAGGCAATTGGTTGCTGCAGCTGTGTTTCCTAAGAGGATTGTCCTTTTCTGTGCTTCAGTCTTTCACCTGAATTGCTCTTCAGTCACCCTAGTAGATTCATCCCACTGGAACTTCTAGGGCTATATTTTCCGCTCTTGACTAACTTTATAACATGGATTCCTCCCCTGCAGTGGATAGCAATTTGCAGCTGCATGCAAACTAAATATGTATTCCTTTTCCCATTAATAACGGCCCTCTCAACATGTTTTGAACTTTCTCCTTGTCTTTTTTACCTTGGGAGTCACAAGCAGGGCTCTGGGTGCTGCCTGTACCACATGTGGTGTGCAGTGAGGGATAGGGATGAGGAGTGTGGTAGCCCCAGGGCTGGTGTTAACAAACTGTGTTGAGAGCACATAGTCAACCCAAAAAAGCTTAAACAAACTGTTCTCAGGATCAAGATGGCCTCTCAGGGGGCCTCCACTGACTGCTCTCCTCTGTGCTTTTCAGGATGAGTGCACGAAAATTTGGTCACTTCTGCGCAGTGGGAAGTTTTCCTGTCCCACCACCAAGGAGCACATCAGCAGCCCGGATGGAAAAGCAGACCTCAACAAGTGCCTGATGTGCCAAAGGCTGCTGTGAGTATCGGCTCCCCGGTGGCTCGTGCGCTGGCTACGGTAGCCACACTGCCCATCTGCAGCACGTCCTCCTCTCCCATAGCAATGAGCCCACTCTCAGGACTCTTGTCCGTGGTGTAAAGTCATAGTTCTGGGCTAGACAGACCAGGTAGTAGGTCTTCAGAAAACCTGTGACCTCAGTAGCGCTCTCTAGCTCCTCACATAGGGTGTGAAGAGCAAATCCAGGGTGAAAACACTTGTTTCTTGATTCCATAGATGGTGTTTAGTAGGATGGAAACACCTGGAGCTTAGGCAGAGAGAAAGGATGGCAAAATGCCCCCAGTGCAGAGATGCTGAAAACTCTGGGCAGGTCTCACTGGGCCAGAGTCCCAGCGCTGGTCCATCCCACTGCCTTGCGCAAACGGGGAGGTGGGGTTGGCAGGACTGGACTTTAAACATTAGCTATTTTGGTTTTAAGTTCGAAGACTGCATGCTGCTCTGTCACTCATCCTCCCTTTCTTGCAGGGAAAAAGACTCAAAAAACAAAGGGAGTGGTGAAGAGGTGAACAGGAATGCGGACTCCTTGGGAGAGGTGAGGTGAAACGCTGCTACTAAAGCCAGTTTTATTGGCATGCTGGGAGCAGGACAATGTGGTGGCATTGTGTCTTCCTCTGACCCACTTGCTGAGTGCATTTCCTTGTCTGAAGTGGGAAATGCTGGCTTGGCCAATGGGGAAGGTCCCAGCTATGTGCCTGTAATGGGAGCAGGGAAAATATACTCTTCCTTTGGAAGATGGTCTAAAGGAGCTCAAGGCTTTGTGCCATCCATGAGCATAAAAGAAACGAAAACTCCTCGGGGCTCCTCACAGGCAATCTGGTCCCTTTCAGGCAATTACTAACATTGCATATATGGTCCGTGTCTGACCCAGAGCACAGGCTAAAGGGATACCTGCCTGTTTATAAGGTACACCATTGGCATCTGACAAATAATTAATAGCAATGATGATGTATGTGAGCTCTGACTAGGGCAGGGTGTGGGAGCAGGCTGACTCTAATTGTCCCTTGTTTATCTTGTTGATGCACCTGGCTGGTTTCTTTTACCCATAGCTGTTTTTCTAGATAGCAGGTCTTTATGTGGAGGGAGTTGTCTTTTGAGCCTTGGGTTTTTATTCTAGATAGGAGTGAATTGGTTTCCATCAGATAGTGTTGGCTGCAGGATTTATTTTTTCTTCACATCTGGTTAAGCAGGGTCGCTTTCTAGCTCTTGTGTGCCTGGACAATTTAAAAGCTTTGTAAAGCACAGCTGTCCTAAGGGAGATCTTTCTTTAAACACCTGACATGGCAAAGTGTGATTCTGAAGGCAGAAGGACACTTTCAGTGTTAGGAAGAGACCTACACTGAATTTCTTTGTTCAGCCATAGATTTTCTGTCTGGCTTTTGGCAAGTAATTTTCTGGGCTTGACTTCCCCATCTGCAGAGCTGGGATAAGTTATCAAACCATCTCCTCTACACACTGGGGGGGGGAATAATGCATTACGGATATACGCTTGGCAGATAACCTTAAAAGTGCCGTATAAAAGAACCTAAAGACTTCACATATAGCATGTTTCTTCTGCTGCAAACTGCTTGTGTGCCCTGAAAGTTATAGAAAAGCTGTTCAGAGGAAAACAAAGACCAGGTTTAAACATTTAAGCAGGTTTTGCTGCAAAAGCCTCTGGTGAAATGGAGTGCTTTGCTTCACATAACACATAATGTCATGTTAAGTGGAAGGTAAAAATACCCACTTCTTCCTCCAGAATACCTGGGAATGTCAGATGTGCAAGGATTTATTTTATTTTTAATGCCTGCAGCTTCATCTTTTTTACTGTGTGTGGATTTTAAAATTCTTGGTACTGTGTTCAGTCATGAGAGATGGGAAAAATGACTTCCTCAGTCAAAATTCAGTGGGAAATTATAGCTTTTATACATGGAGCAGAACCTAGGTCCTTTAGGCAGGCTCCTGCATGTCTTATCTATTAGGAATAGAAATAAGGCTGCCCTGGCTGCAAAAGACAGATCTGCTCATCTAAACATACTAGTTCATTTGGTTTATGTTGCATGCTATAGTTTAAGAGAACACATCAGGCAAACTACGATTTTCCACTTAGTTACACCTCAAGGAAACAAAATAGTGTTTGAAATGTAATTTGTTGGGTGGATAATCCTTTGTGGATTTCTTGGAGATGCATCCCTGTCAGTGTATCTGTGTCAACCCACACTCTTGGCATTTCCACAGGATGACTGCCGAGAGTTTCGGGACCTGTTCAAGAAAGGAAAACTTTCCTGCACCAGAGAAAATGACCCTGTCCGTGATTCCTCTGGGAAGCAGCACAGCAATAAATGCATCATGTGTGCAGAGAAGTTGTGAGTAGAGGAAAAACACAGCCTTTTCTGTTGAGAAAACAGCTGCTGGAGGGACCCTGTTGCCAATGCCAGTGGTTGGCATCACTTGCTTCTCCTGCAGCCGATGGTGGGGAAAGCCTCTTGCTCCCTGGAGCACTGTGGTATTCACTTTCTCATCTTGCTTCTCTTCCAGCAAACGGGAGAATGGACAGGAGTCATCTAAAAACAGACAAAAGGAAGATAAGGTGAGATTAAAGTATTAGGCAGGTCAATATAAAACTTTATTGGATTTTCACCCACGATAGAGAAAAGGCAACATTATTCTACTCAGTTACTCTTTCTCCACTGATTTAATTTTGAGATCCACTTTCCTTTCCCTCATTTCGTGTTTGTATTCTCAAATCCCCCAAGTGAATAACTTGTGCCTGAACTTTACAGTTTATCCTGCTGACCTGTGGATCTAGGGACAGGCAAATCCCATCAGAATAAGAAACCAGGTGTGCTGTGCTATCCTAGAACCTGGCTCAAGGGTGAAGAATCAGTGCTGCTGAAGGTGCTAATTAGGTGAAAAAGAAAGACTCTAAATCTGAACCCTGCAAAGCTCACAAGATCCTTGTATTCTGGGAGATTTCAGCCCTGAGCTGTCTCCATGGACTTGCGGCTTTCCTTGTTGGAAACTTTGGTGATGCCGTTTGTCACCTTATCTTTACAGCCCTGCAGCCACCATGTTCCTGCACACTGGTGTTTCCCTGGTAAGGGGAGAAAAAGCTGTTTTCCAACACTTACCTTTCGACTTCTCCTATGGTAGGGACTGGAGTGGTCTCCTTAAGCCTCAGTCTTGGGCATAATCCTGTTTCAGTGCTTTTCCTAATGACTTTTGGAAGTGTAAGTGAAATCTGCTGATGACAAAGCTGGGAGGCAGCATCAGCAAAGAGGATCAGCAGATCACTCAAGACTAATTGGATAGCGCTGAGGCCTGGAGTAATAGAAACAGGATAAAATGTAATAACTGGGAGATCACAGAGTCAGTGATTAACAAGAATTCCTGCTTGTCACTTAGAAGTGACAAAGGATAAGAAAGCCCTGCGTTTATTAGTGGGTCAGGCACACGGCACACCATGAAAAAGGCAAAGGCAAGTCTTGGATGTACGCAGCAAGGTTTTTGCAGCAGAGGTCAGGAAACTAAGAGAGCTCCATATATGCTAATTTAAAGGAAGACTGAGGGAGGCTATTAGGGGAAGGCAGAGCTGTTTTAGAGGCAGAGGATTGGGGTGCAGAGCTGGGTTTGTCACAGGGAATAAGGCACAGAGGGGCTGGGAGAGTTTTCATGGGCTTGTTGGGGAGGGAAAGCATTGCTTGAGCTGCACAGGAATGTGAGTACAGGCTGGTGATGGGAAGAAGCAGTGAGGGTCTCAGGTGAATTGGGGTGCAACAGTTATTTCTGATGGGAGCAATGTAAGGTGGCTGCTGGCC